TGAACTTTGTGATCACAGCACTTTAAATAAGTTAAAAAATTAGATGTTTTACTTTATAACCTTAGAATCTGATTTTTAGTTGAATGCGCGCGCGCAGTGACTTTAGCAGTCGTCAGTGGAAGCGAGGGCACAGACCCCAGTACCGTGGAGCCAGCCGCGAGCGACGTCGGTCGAGACAAGAGTACCGTTGCTCCGAGAGTGGGAGCGAGGTCGAGCACTAGCCGGCAGGCTTTGACATTTCCAAGTTATTTCGTTACTTCATTGCGGCCAACATGACTTGCCTTTGTTATTGTTGGCATAGATCTGTAACAAGATCTTACTAACCTTCGACTAGACGCATACGTAAAAACAGACAAACGCGTGACTGAAATGCAAAGACTTGTTTTCGTTATTCACGCATAATAGAGCCTTGTTAAGCCTAAAAGCTCGGTATCAATTGAATCTAACAAAGTAAAAGAAGAAGAATCTAAAAGTTACAACAAGTTTAGATATCTAAGAAGCATTACCTGACGATCGTGTAGGCGTAAATGGTTTGGAAAAACCTCTAGAGGTTTGAACCTTGTAAAGTTCAATTCAATATGTCAGGTATTGTACACACCGTCCTGAATCATTTGTATTAAAAATATTCGTAATTGAAAGGTTTTAGGAATCAAAAAATATTGGTGACAAATCTCGAAGAAAATCTCTGGCTTCTGAAACTTCAAGGCAAATTCAATCGCACAATAACATTTAATAATGACAAGAAACCACAAAACGCTTAAGAAGAGTATTGATAGGAAAAAATTCGCCACAACTCGCGGAAAATTTGCGTATCTCATGCAAAGTTAGATAACAAGCAGTGAAGAACTTGCCAGGATTTTTGCTCCCTCACAAATTGCTTTCGCATTGAATTCGCACAAAGACTACTCCGAGTTGGATCTTTCCATCTTACTGACGTATTCTGTTTTAGACTGAGTCGTACATTTTTTTGTTACGTACTTATGAATATAATCTTTATTGCTTTCCCAAAAAATGCCATTATATTTTACAAGAATTTTACAAATAAATATTCTAAAACATATTATACGACGAGCGGATGGAGATTTAAACAGGAAAGAGTTACTTTGTTGATAGCTACAAAAGAGGAAGACCGCAGTAAGTGTGAATAGATTGTGAGAAAGAGGATATGCGTAATAAGGTAGTGAATTAAGATATGACGACTGATAGAAATGTATGGAAGAGGAGCAGACACTGTGCCGACCCTACGTAGGACAAGGGCAAGTTGATTATGAAATATCCTAAAACAGAGTCTGTAATTAAATACTTCGAAACAACCTGAAATACTAATCCCAGTTTAGTTTTGAAACAAGGAAATTCGATAGATTATTTTGAAATAAATTCTTTCCACATCAATCCGTCTGTGAGTGAGCCTAAATGGCTGTCAAACTTGCATTAAACGTTTCAAATCATTGGAAACAGTTTGACAAAGTCTTCAAACTATTCGCAGCACTGCTACCGGCTTCGAATGATTGATGCGGAGGCGCGAATGTTCCTGACAGGGGCGCACGTATTTAATATTAATACTGTCACACATTGTACGGATGACAAGATTGATAGAACAAGTTTCGGCGGAATATTGTGCGCTTTACGCACATTGTGATTTATTTGAGGAGTGACAGAAAGAAATAATACCGAATTTCCCAGAATTCTATATGAAATCTTAAAAAAGGTTTCCCGTCTGGTACATACGACACATTGAGATATAAATTAATCGAACGTTTACTCGCTATTGTCAGTGCCAGCGGTTGGAGAGAGGGCGCCACAGTTCTACGAATTACAGCCTCAAATAAGCCTGTAAACCACTTCCCCAAAGCTAGTAAAAAACGCTACGCTGTAGATATCTCGCCCAGGACGTTAGTAGCGATCGATGGTCCCAACGGAACGAACCTATAAGGTCACGTCTAAAAAACTCCTTGTTTCCACTAGTACAAGACATTTGTTGGTACAAATTGTCAGCTATTCTAACGTCCAGAGATGGACGCGTTGGAAACGATTACGCAGGTATTCACGCCGCTTTACCGCTCACTTCCAAGATTTATTAGCCATTGAAGCGTATCTCTGGCCCGAGCGAACACCGATAATCATGATAAATTTATAATCGATTGCTCCTTTTTTATACAACAGTCTAATAGCGTGCCTTTTAAGGCAGAAACGGGATTGTACAAGACGATAGTGTCCTAAGAAATTGAAGTATATCAACTCAAATTGTACTGCAGCTCTTACCCTTCTTATTTATAAACCAGCTGTTGCTCGCGACTTCGCCCGCGTGAAATTAAAAAATAATAATGAATGTAGATGTTACTCACTGATAATGTAGCTTTTTATTTGTGTAAGAATCTTTTAAATCGTCCCAGTAGTTTTTGAGTTATTTCAATACATACAAAAATACAAATCTTTCCTTTTTGACCGACTTCCCAAAAGAAGGAGGTACTCAATTCGTCTGTATGTTTTTTTTTTTATAATATCAGTAAAGAGATAAACCATAAACTCAGACAGCAAAATAAAACATGTTTTAACTGACTGGAAAAAAAAACATAAAAACGGGTACGAACTACCGTGTCTTTTGAATTCAACTCGAATTCACACCACTGCGACTAAAGCTCTGATGTACATACATATATCTGCATACTATGTACATTATAGCGTATGCTTTTATAGTTCTCTCACACTTTTCATATTTCAGAGTGAGACAGGTATAGCGTGATTATGGATGCAAATTCCAACAACTACTTAATAGTCCACGGACAAGACGACTCGTGAGAAAATGGCTTACAATCATCCGAGCGTTGAAGAATTTCAATTAAAAAATTATGTCCGTTCCTACTTTTATGTTCACCTGGAGATATTCAGTATCCCCTATATAACGAGTACTTTATGTTTACGTGAGGCAAAAAAGAAAATTATTATCCGTAACATGGTCATGGACAAGGTCTTTTAAACATTATTATTGCTTATTTATTTCAATAAAACGTAAGACTAATATCCATAAACATCCACAAGACAACTGTCACATACAACTTTAAGATTAAAAAAATATTTATTCGGAGAAACAAACTAAATATTTCATTTATAATATCAATAACACATACTAGCCACTTTCATGTTTATAGAGTTTTTTTATAGTAATTGCTCGTAGCTAATTGTCGGAGATGTCTTCAGTCGCGCGTAACATCGAGGACAACACACCATGATTTATGATGAGGCGTACATCGTGTCTAGATTTCTTTTTATCGCAAAAACCTCGATGTTCTCAAGCATTGTAGATCAGTTACTGTCAAAATTGTTAGTATGAGAATTGTCATAACAATTCCGATCAATAGTTTAGTAAAATTGTATAAAACCAAATATTTAAACATTCACGAACTGATAACAAAACTTCCATTCTGAGGGGCTCTAAGTTAGAGGTGACTAGGCCATAGTCAACCACACTGGTCCAGTAAAGGTTGACTTTACACATATCTTGAATATCTACGCAATTTTGTTACAGATTTGCAGTTTACCTTTATCGTAGGAACGTCGGGTAAATTATATATGAAATTCGAAAGTCGAAAAACACCTTGGTACATATGAAGCGACCTGAACTCCAGGACCTGTAGATTACAAATCAAATGTTCAACCACTGATCATATATCTATTTGCTTATTTTACACGTTACTTATTAGTTTTTACAGGTGCCGAAAAATATTATCATGAAGAACATTATCTGACATGTAATGTAATTCATAGATTAGTTCGTTTAACATTTAGTTCTCTTATAAATAAAACAGAAAATACAAACATATTTCATTTATTGTCAAAATAAATAATGAAACAAGTGTAAAACAAATACAGTTCAGAAAATATTTCTCGAATCGAAAACAAAAATGCCAAATGCATTAAAACTCCGTCAACATTAGCCTGCAACTTACACAATAACAGGAAGTTTATCGAAGCAAAGTCCAAGTGCTCGCTCTTACTGCTACATCGGAACTTAGTCTGCAGCAGCAAAGTAATCAAAACCAAGTAAACAGTTGCCCCGGGCGTCTTAGCTTCAATGTTATACAAATTGTACCTCTATTTTCAACATTTGAAATTAAGATATCTCCTTTAATAAGTCGGTCTTAGCTATTTATCTGTTATGAAAGTTTTATAAATTATATCTAAACACCACGTTCAAGATAAAATATTTCAAAACAATAATACTTACCATGATAAGGACATTTCCTTCATTTCATTACTTTAAATGAATACTCTTGTAATGTGAGTTTTTTTGTTTTGGATATTTTATAGATCTATTTATTAGTCCATCTCCTACAACGTATTGATTTAATGATAACTCGGATCAATGACAAGTGAATTCCAGTTACAGCGGCTCGTTAAACCTGCTTACTACTAAAAGAAATCGTTAAATGGACGAGTATGTGTTGGAGTTTTTATATGTTTGTATACTGGCAGGCAACACTGTACACACTAAGAATGGTTTTTTAATATTAGAATAATATATAATTTAAATTATTAAGAATTCTACATTTGATGAAATATTGTGAGACTTCACATCTCGACACCGAACAAGTAACATTGTAGGACTAATAGACTTTGTATAAAATATGGTTCATATATTTTAAATATAACGATGATTAACTAGAAGAAAGTGTTTCAATAGCCCCACACCTCCAGAGCCCCGGACGGGGGAAAGTAACCGTCCAACAGTATGACACAAGTGTCGTGGAAAGCACTTGTTTTTTGAGAATACCCGCACAATTATTCCAAGGAACATCGCCTTCTCAAAATGCATTTTTAGCTTTGGTTTTGCTGGTCCGTGGTTTTTGTTTTATAAAAGCAAGAAAATTTGAAATATTTTTAATAACTTGAGGATAAATAACATTGTTATATTATATTTTCTGTTAAACTGAACACTTTTTTTAGCTTATCTACAATAATAACTGACAACTGACAGCTGATAACGTCACAGTGACATTTGTTGTGACAATATAAAACAGAGGATAAACAAAAATCTAAAGTGGTTTCTGCAATTTCTATTATTAATAATTTTATGTTCTTTGTCGTAGCTTCAGAAGTAGTAGCAGTTTCAGAAGTTGAAATATAAAACAGACGATACCAAACAATTATGATTGTGTATTGTGATAAGTTTTAAGGCTTCAGTCGTTACAATTATATTTATAAAGTTTTTCCAATATAAACCAAAATGTCGGCGTTATTAACAGCAGATTGGTTTCATCTAGATTCTTACTACAGGTATGCATATTATAACGTTTTCATTATTCCATACAGTTTACAAATCTCACCCTTTCCTTTCAATTAGTTCGCACGTTACATTAGTTCAACTTTAGTATTGTTATATACCCGTAATACTTAAATATATGGGGCAGAGTAGGCCTTAAGTACCGAGTATTTGAGCTCTACACCAATAATAATTAGAAAAAAGGTCATCTGCTTCTGCATGTCATGCAGACACTAACAGTAAACAAATTTACATACTGAATTCTTCTATTTTCAGAAAGTTCGATCTGTACACTATGGTGTGGTCTATGGACGAAGGCTTAGGTAATATGGTGGTCAGTGGTGCACCTTATGGCGGTCCCATTGCTGTAGTCAGAGATCGGAAGCAATTTGTACAAATTGCAACAAGTGTTAAACCTGTGATAACTATTTATAACTGCGTCGGAGATGTAATGTCTAAGATATTGGTATGTATTTATTATGCAGCAGTTTTACAACAATATCATTATCCTTCTTTTTAACTTTAAAACAAGAGAGACAATAGTGTAAATAAAAGTATGACATCATTACTCAAATCTAATTCATATAATTTATTACAGTACAACTGGTAGACTTCTGTAACTTTTATAAAGTATTCATGGTTCCTATTGCTATGACAACATATAAATAAACTAAAGTTGATTAACATTTCAGTGGAATAGTGGAGTCCTCATACACATGGGTTGGTCTGATGCAGAGCAACTGCTTTGTGTACAAGAAAGTGGTGATGTTCTCATTTATGATATGTTTGGGGCCTACCAAAAGTCTTTCAGTTTGGGTCAGGAAGTGAGAGATACAAAGGTAATCTACTACTTTTATTGTACTTTGCAAATCAAGATAGTTTTGCCCATTAACAATATTAAATACACAGTATATAACAATTCTGAATATCAAAATTTTATTGCATGGTGAAAAAAAAAATCAATTTGTACTCTACTGTTGTCCATTCAAAGTCAAAGAAGAAAAGAACTAATAATAATTTAATATTTGATAGTTTTATATAAAAATAAAATGTTATTTTGGCCATATGGCCAATTTGACCATATATAAAGCAGAATCCTCTGTTTCTAGGTGTGTAAAGCTCAACTGTTTCCCAATCCGCATGGGATTGGTCTAGCTGTGATAACATCAACCAACAGCATGTATCTAGTCAGCAATGTATCTGATCCTAAATTAAGATCTGTACCTGATTTGCCAAGTAAGTGTTTATCTTTTAATACCTAGAGTAAGTACTGTCCTTTGTTCAAAGGGGATCCAGGGGTGGTAATGGGGGTCATGACCTCCCCCCCTGGGTTGATTGGTCAAGAGCTTGACAAAATATATTTACATATTTTGTCAAATTGCGCCAAAGCTAGATCCGCCCTTGCCTTTGTTCTAAATGTAAACATAAATTTTGTTAAAGAAACATGAAATATTTTACTTCAAAGTTATAAATTCCTCTACAATAGACATGTAATACGAAATATGTAATTTCCGAAATAGTGTGGCATAGTAATCATATCTTAGAGCTTTTAACTTCACACAAATTGATATTTTTAGGTTAGAATGTGAGCGAGGGCATTGTGCAAAGTGTAGATGATCTTAGCCTCCAAGATATTTTAAAAGTGCAATAAATATAATTACCATGGAATATGAAAGATGTTTGTGTTTACAATACATTATTTGTCTTTTACTGTTACAGGAGCGAATGACCCTATAAGCTCTTGGTGTGTACTGAGTTCAGGACAACGGAGTGGATCTTCTATGATTGGCTTCCTTGTTTGTAGAGACAAGGAGATATACAAGTGTCAACTTGGAGAGTCTGTTGCCGTATTGATGGTAAATACGTCCTTGTAAACAATTTGATTGAGGAGGTTATATGCAATTTCTGTTTTTTTTTTTAAATGGGCAAACATGCCATGAAGAAATTTAATTGTTATGAGCTATATATGAATGTAGTCGGGTTTTATTAAATTTTAACACAATATTGCCTATTATCAGCAAAATTTAGGTTTTACAGATTTTTCTTAGAATTAAATTTTGTGATTATTTAAATATTTTTCATATCAATACTACAACCGGTTTTAACATTCTGCCGCCCTGGGTAGAACATTTCCGACGCCCCTTAACTGTCATAAAAAACCCATACGAAATGTTTGTGATGCCTCTTTAAATCCAACGCCCTGGGCAGTTACCCCCCCCCCTCCCCCGCCCTAATTTAATTCCCGATATTGATCGATACAATGTTTTCTGTTTGTTTTCAGCGTCCAGAGATTCAAAATGCGTATACTCAGATTTTAACAATAGTGCCGTCACAAAATGGCCGCCATGTTGCTTTATTCACCGACTCTGGTGTATTATGGATTGGTTCCTCCAACTTCAAGACCAAATACTGTGAGATTGATACGGGGTATTTTAAACAACCGAAGGAATTAGTATGGTAAGTGGTATTTGCGCTTATTTTCAACTACATAACGTCTCCGTATTAAAATCTTTCATTAATTCTTTGTTTTTGCAACATTCATATTAAACAATCGGATTGCTAAATAGGTCCTAAGTACTCGTACTTTTAGAAGTAGGTTTAATATTAGACATTTACAATTGGGAACTTCATAAGTTAAATTTTAACTCTGAATGTAACAGTCCAAGTTCTTTCAAATCAAACTTCAGTTAATCCATTTGTTTTAATAATTATTATTTCTATTTATTATTCTTTTTCACTTTCATTCAGAAGTTCAGTAGAACTTTCTAGATAAATAAATCTTTTTTACTGTGTTATAAATACGAAAATTTGGATGTTTAGAAGGTATCTACAGATCTGCTAACGGATCTTGATGAAATTTGCCATAAATAAATTATAGGAAGAACACATATGCTACTAATTAAGTTTTTTAAAACCATAAACATGTGAATGTTTATTTTTAATGTTCATATGTCTATCAGTGGCTTTTTTCCCTAGGTGTGGTTCACAAGCGATAGTAGGCCATTGGGACGATATGATGTACATATACGGCTTCAACGATACAGTGGTACAATATCCTTATGATGGACCATTCCATATTATTCCGGAGATGGATTGTGTCAGAGTCATCTCCGAGATGACACACGAATTGATACAAAAAGTGCCAGTTGTTGTGGATAAGATATTAAGAATTAATAGCACAGCGCCTGGATGTTACCTGCTTGAAGCATCTAAACAATTTCAGGTATATTTACATTTATTTGTAATTAGCCGTAGCTCGCGACTTCGTCCCCGTAAAATTGGGAAATACTAAAAGATATAGCCTATGTTACTAACAGATAAATTATCTTTCTAATGGTGAAATAATTTTTGAAATCGGCCCAGTAGTTTTCGGGTTATTTCAATACATACAAAAATACAAATCTTTCCTCTCTATAATGTTAGTATAGATATACTTGTTTTTAAGCGTCCCTAGGCCAAGATTTTGATATTCTTTGTTGGATTATTTCTGTATTTTTACTTCTGATGTTTTCCATGGTCAGTTTCTGTTGCATTACAAAAGCACTATAAACATAATTTTTAGACGATATTTCACTTGTATACCATTCATCAATGTTTTTATAGATATTTTTCTGCTAAATGCTACTTAGGGCCTGTCCCACCAAATTGTAAATTATCAGATAACAATCCAACGCATAAAATATGAGATGGAAATATTGGATTTTGTTACCTTATGTAGTGACGTTATTTTTAAGTTGTCAGTGCCTATCAGCCAGTAGGGATAGGCCCATAGCATTGTACTTATATACCTAAGGGATTCCCTTAGCAACCTTATAGAGAAACCTACACGTAAAGTCTTCTTAAGCATAAGACAAATAAACGAAATACACAAGTAATAAATACTTTTTTTATAACATTTCAGAAACGGAGTCATAGGGCTGATGAGTATATTCGTCTAGTGAAGCCAGATTTAGCGAATGCTGTACAAGACTGTATCGACGCGGCGGCTTTCGAGTTCAGTCCGGATGTTCAGAAGATGCTGATCAGAGCGGCTCAGTTCGGGAAGGGCTTCATACTGGACCCAGTGCTCACTGACCACTATGTGAAGACCTGTCGCTGGCTGCGGGTCCTGAACGCGATACGGGACCCCAAAGTGGCTATACCACTAACTTTCTTACAGTATCCTTTTTAGTGGATTTTTTGCGTTATTTAATTATTTTATAATTAAAAATATCAGTGTTTTTTTATAATTTCATACACAGGTTCCGGAATTTTTGCGTGTTAGTTTTTGATTTGTGATATTTTTAGTCTAGCAACACTATCTTTTTATATTTTAATTGTGCGTACACGCGATTTACAAAACTCCAACAGCCTTACAAATAAAGGCATTATAACGTTTAACTTAGGAATAAACTGACTATCAGCAAATATTAGTTCATTTTTTTATTTGCTGTTTCGATACTCATACCTGACCAGTACAGTTAGACAGTTGTGTCGACCAGACATAGATTGTATAGACTCACTAGACTCAGTTATCGTTCTCAATGCCAATTGCCAGGCCAATTATTGAGACAATTACCGACAAATTTACAAACAAATTATAATTTTTACGAGATATTGGAGCTGAAATGTATTGTCAATAAAAATAGCGAAACCATATTGAATGTAGTCTTAAACGCGATTCATCTGTCAAAGTAAAATGCACCTTAACGGAGAGCAATAGAGTTCAGAACTTGGGCGAGCGCGTGCTGCTGGACCGGCTCATCTGGCGGCGGCTGCACTGCCTCGCCACGCACGTCGCCGCATACCTGCAGCTGAAGGACGGACAGACCAGAGTACTCTCACATTGGGCCTGCTACAAAGTATCTATATCCATAAATATTACTTCGTACTAATATCATAAATTATGTTTGGATGAATGGATGTTTGTTAGAATTTGTAGCTCAAAATGCTGAAAGGATCTCTGTAATTTGCACAGTTGTAGAGGTCAGTCTGGAACAAAAACTTTACATACTTTAGTTTTTTTAATTCCACGCATGAGGAATCTGGTTAAAATTGTTAAAGGAATCTTATTAAATGTTAACGTCTAGCAGGATGCGAACGGCGCTTATAAGACAAAGTGCTTTCGTTTCAGCATTCGGCCGTTAGTGTCTGCAATTATTATATTTTACGTAATAAACCTTATATTTCGTTTTCCATGTCAAATAATACGTTTACAGTATATGGTCAATTTGACCATATAATTTATATACGTAATAATTTAGTCTACTACTAAAAAAAACATTGCTTATTGTGTATTGATGTAATAAAATATTGAAATCAGGTAACACAGCCGCATTTGGACAACGAGAGCGCAGCGCGTGAGATAGGAGAGAAGTTGCGGAATGTTCCGGGGATATCGTACGCCACTATCGCTATGAAAGCCGCCGAAAAAGGGAGGAAAGCGCTCGCTATTAAGGTAAGTTTCGATAAAGAAAGCCAAAATTTCGTTATCTTTTAAAGTTCTAGTTATCTATACTTCTATACTATTATAATAAAGCGTAAACTCACACTTCTTTGTTGCCTAAGATGTCAGCAGTTACATTATATTTTTGAATAACTCTTTTTTTAATAAAAGGCCCTACGCTTGCGTCAGGCTTTAGACTATATATTATAACGCTATTAAACTTAGGGGGTAAATATATTGGATAAAAACCCTAATATGGGAAAGAGACCATAAGTTGTTGCCAACATTAAGGAAGCAAGGTTGCCATCATGTCATGTCATTGATTATTGATTTATTATGTATGTTTGAATTTGCTAAAAATATTTTACAATTATTATAATTGCGAAAGTTTAGATAGATGTTTTATAAAGTTCGACGCGTAGATGATGTAGAGCTGGTTCTGGAAGAAAATATGGGATAATTGCTTTTTTAATTCTACGAGGAAGGAATTCTGTATAATACATCATTGAAATGCGAATCTGAAACCACGACAGTTAGATCGCTAGGTTCATCACCAATCTATCCTTGTCCCTACGGCGGGTCGGCACAGTGTTTACTGCTCTTCCATACATCTCCATCAGCAATTAGGTTATTGTTTCAGAGGCACAGTGTGTGCTTTTCTTCCATACATCTCTATCGTCAATTATGTTGTTCGAACAGTAAGTTTGTATGTGTAGATCCTGGAGTACGAGCGGTCGCGCGCGCTGCAGGTGCCGCTGCTGCTGGCGCTGGGCGAGGGCGGGGCGGCGCTGCGCCGCGCCTGCGCCGCCGCAGACACGGACCTCGTGCACGTCGTGCTGCTGCACCTCAAGGACAACATGAGCAAACATGACTTTGAGGTATTACCATATTAAAAAATACAAATATTTTATTGTTAATAGTGAATATATGCATGTATTTCTTTTTTTAAATGATTCTACTTGTTATAAAATAACCAGAAAAACAAATTGACAGGAAAATATTCAACCATTGAGCTAAAAATAATAAAATAAAATTACTACCATTTTCAAACGACTAAAACGCGACCAGAATTGACGTCAATCGTCATATTCCATTCATAACATACGCTCAGATGTCACTTCAATGTAAAAAACAACAAAGTATCTCATTGCTTCTCAAGGTCAAAAAGACAAAAATCGATTCATTTTTATTATTCCTGGTACAAATAAGTGGTAAATAATAATTCTATTCATTATTTTTTATTTTAAAGTTCGTTTTAATATCGTGTTTACAGTGAAATACTTCAAGAGTGTATTTCTACAAAAAACTGACGTAAATGAACTGTGTATTGTCAACACAGCGACGCCATATTAGATAAGTCACTTGCTTCGACCAATAGTGTGCGTTTTAGAACTAAGAGAGGGAATTTTAAAAAGACACTTTTTAATGATTAAATTTCGCCACTAAATCACATTATATTTAAGAAAAATCTTGAAGGAATGTTTTTATAGTAATAAAGTATACTTAAAAAAGTTTTATTGCCTATTTACAGGTTATAACGTTAAAAAAATATACAGATATTGTATGTGCATTGTACATGTGTAATTGGTTACGTTTTTCATTATTTTTTTTTAATTCATAAATGTATTGTATAGTTTGTCTAAATAAGATAGATTAGTTTGATAAATGACGCATATGAAGTATCGAATTCAATTTGTATGAAGGCAAGTACCGTACTTAATAGACAATTATCGTAGTGACTAAACAAACACGCAACGTACAATAATGAACTATCGATATTCGGTTTAAATAAAATTTATTGAACTTAACTAAAAATACTATTTTCTTATTAACTAATTTAGAGGACAATTCTAGTACTAATAATAGTTTATAGAATTTATTTTATGAAATCCAATACGATTACGTACAGCTGTAGTAGTAGTACATATTTATTTACTCTCATTGTTTGTAATGGTACTGCAGGTCATTATTAATTTGACACAACATGTTTTTTTTTATTCATAAGTTATAACTCTAACCTATCGATTCCAACTTCAATAAGAATAAAAATCGAAAACATTCATGCCCTGATTATACAACCCATCCCTACTAAATTGTCAAACTAATCTATCTTATTTACACAAACTATAGTGTTGATAAGAGTTAAACGTGTTTTTTTTTAAAAAAAAAAAGATGACTATCCGCGGCTTCCCGCTCGCGCAAGCGTTGTACCTGAAATATTGCGGGAGCCACAACCGCGAGGCGCTGCGCAAGGTGCTGGTGCAGGAGGACAACTTCCCCGCGCAGGCCGCCTCGCACCTGCGCGACGCGCTCGACACCGCCGCGCCCTCGCACAAGGAGGCCGCGCTGCAGGCCGCCAGGGACTGCTACAAGAAGGCCAAGAATGATCTAGGTAATACAGCAAACCCACCGGTGTTGCCAGCGCTATGCCAATAGAAAATATGTATTTTTCTCTTAGAAAGGGTACCTGATATAGACAAGCATATCGGC